TTTTTTAAAACACATGCATTTATAAACAGGCAGAGGATTTTAGAATCGTGGAAAAGTAGATGCCACATACACCAACAAAGCCACCAGGTGTCATACAGTAGGAATCAATGCATGAGAGTAACAGATGTATGCAATAGAGCTGCCAATTAAGCAAGCAGTTACCCAATAAGAGATTTCATATCCATGACGAAGCCCTTAGCTGGGCCACACTGGATACTGCACAGCAATGGGGATGTGGAACCTACCTACCAACTGGACTAGATGTCTTGACTGGGTTGGTCCACGGTGAACTGGCCCATGATTGGTGCAAGTCCACTCCACATTCATGCTTTTGGAACATGATTTGTATTGTATGATTATCCCTGGCCAGGGTGCAGGGGGTTCATGAGAATGAACTTCCAGCAGCAGTCTGCTAATGGGGTAAATTAATACAGACAGCTATGGCACTGGCAAGGACAATACTCCACGCCCTTTTCTGGGCAGCAGGGACCCTCGCAGAAAGCTACCACCTGTAAAATAGGACTAGATGGCTGCATAGGTCCAGCCTGTCCCATGTGCAAGGGGCTGTTCATGCAGGTGCCTGAAGACAAGCCACCCCTCACTACAACACACAAATGAAGACAATTGGAACATTTCAGTTGTCTGGTATGAAGATGAAAGACATCTTGCTAAATAAAACTCCCATCCCAAGTTTAGTTTTAAAAGAAATGTAATTGGAAAATAAGAAATTAAAACTTCATTACAATCCTGTGCGCTCCCCTGTCGTCCAGGTAGGGCACACATACAAGCAGCCACTCATATCAGTTTACATGAATTCACATTTACAGAAGAAAATAAGGACTCTGAAACTCATGCATTATATTACATTTAAAAAATTGTATGGAGACTTTAATAGAAAAATAGTTTATTATACCATGCAACCAGAATGCATTTGTGTCTTCATCCATAACATCTTAATTACATTAAAGGTAACAGTTTGGCAACAAAACATGTCTCCCCTCCCTCTCTTATCTGTGCTTTATAACTGTATATACATGTGTCTGTCCAAGAACTAAATAAATTAACAAAGGTGCCAAGATACAGCCTAAGTAAAAATAAGGGTACAAGCAGGGGGGCAGAAAGGGTTTATAGAGGGGTGAGGTTTACAGTATTAAAAAATGTTGGTCTTCTACAACAACAGATGTACAGTACACAATCAGCACACCGCGTGGATCACAGAGTGGTCACTGGGGGCAGGGCGCCGACACGAGGTTTGTAAAAGACGTGTACAAGAATAAAACCAAATTCAACGTTAAAAAGAACCCTGCACACTTCAGCACGGTCACACCCGCCCCCCCCCCCTTCCCAGCAAGGAGAACGTCAGGAATCCTCTGATCACAGCTTCAGACCCTCCCCTGTGCAGCTCGACATCCTGAGCACAACCCAGACGCCAGCGCTGACAATACCGTTGAGTCCCCAGGCTTCGACACATCCACAGACTCCAGCCAGCGTCTGTGCCCGAGCGGAACAAAAACTAATTACACCTGCCATTGTGTGGAACCACCGGACACTCAACATTCAGCAGTCAGCGTTCCCTCGGTTTCGCCACACTCAACATGCAAACATGCATTGTGCAACTGTGATATCTGGTGTCCCAAACACTTACTAGAGCTCATGTAAACACAATCCTGCCTGGGGCCGAGTTCCCAGCACCTCCTCGAGAGCAGCTCTTGCTCTCCATCCACAAAGCTCTCCTTCAGCCTGCAGCACTGAAACTGTGATGAGTTACAGCCTGGCTCTCCCAGTGCTGGCGCTAGGGACCCCCACACCTGCTGGGCTTCACTTCAGCCAAGCTCTTGCCGACAAGAGCCCTCCACTGAACGAACCTTGCTTTGCTGGAACCTCTGCAATTTGTTTCCCTCCCTCTCTGCTCAAGTATGGAAGTATGAAGTTATCACAGCAGTGTAAGAATTTTAAATGAGCAACTTCCTACAAACAGATGAAACATCTTATTGGGTAGAGCCAAACCCAGCAGGTGTGTTGGGGTGCCCAGGGCCAGTGGGGGGTCCACAGTGCCCCACCCTGCACCCTGAACATGTCAGCACTGGTCTTTAACCCTTGCCATCAGACAACACTCCAAATATCCATCACTAACTGTTGACTCATTTACAAATTTCGGCAGCTCAGAAAACACGAGCCGGCCCCCGCCGCCACACACCAGGGACTGGTCAGCGCCTCCACCCCCTGCCCCGGCACGCCCCTCAGCGGGAGCTGTCCCGGCGGCCGGCGATCTGTGGCGACTCTGTGCAGGCGCAGGACAGCGGCACGGCGGCGGTCCCGTGGAGTGGGCGGGGACCGCGCTGCCGTGGGGCGGGCGCGAGAGGAGGGTGGACGTGTGGGGCGAACGAGGCACTTGGGCGGGGGGCTTCGGGGGAGCAGAAATGAACCCCCCAACCGCCCCTCCTGACTCGGGACCCGGTCCCACCGTGGCTGTTGGGACAGCGGCTGCAGACGCCTGCCTGCCCCACCCCCGCCCCCCTCCGCCCCCGCGGGCGCCGGGGGGGGGGGCTACGTGTGGTGGACCTCGTGGAACATCAGCTCGCGGGGGATGGTGGTCACGGGGCCGTACAGCTTGCCGGCCCGCCGCTCGAACGCCGACACCATCTGCTTGACGACCTCGTCGAAGAAGACGGTGGCCAGCTGGGAGTGCAGCAGCGAGCGGAACTCGAAGGAGACCTGGGATGGGAGCAGGTTAAAGGTTAGAGGTCAAAGGGCAGCAGCATCCGCACGCTGCAGGCACCCCCTGGTCAAAGTGTCCATCTCGGCGCATCTCTTAAGTGAAAAGAGGTTGACAACCTTCATATGGGACAAGCATGACATCTTTCTGCCAAATTTGAATGCACAATTATTTACAGTTCTGTAGATATTCAAAATGATAAGACCGTGAATATGGCACGTGCAAGTGTTTGAGCGCCCCCGTCAGTAAGGACTCAGTAACACCTCCACCGGCCGGTTAACCGCACTCACTGCGAAATCCAGGGTGCAGGTGCGCGGGTACCCCGGGATCCCTGGGCTGAAGCGCCACACCGTCTCCAGGTGGTTGAAGAGCTTGCCCTCGGAGCAGGACGCCTGGAAGGGTGAGCACGAGGCAGGGGCAGCTCAAGAACGCGCTCGCGACAGGCCAGCTGGGCGGCGGCTCAGGGACCCAACCTCTGACCCCTGTCCCACACACCCTACAACCTCCACTCCCTCCTCCTGCGCCAGGCGCCTCTCTTTTTGGGGCTCAAAGGCCTCTCTATAGAGCCAACTCCCAGAACATGAATCCTGTTAGGTAATACATCACAATAAGCAGCAGACCCAACCCGCAGCCCTCTAAGAGTCAAACTCACAATTACAAGGCCACAGCTAGTGGGGACTGGGTTTGAGGCTCCTAGACCTAACCTTGCTTGGAATCGGGGGGGCCTTGCGTTGCCGTACCTTGACCAGGTGGGGGCGCACTGTGGTGACAAGGGAGGTGTAGCGCTCCAGCACCGGGGGGAAGCCCACCTCCAGCTGGGCCTTGCAGAAGCCGGTCCTGCGGAAGATCACCTCCGAGCGCTTGCACCACGGCACGAAGTGCAGGTACTGCTCCACCCCCGCCACCACGTCATACATCTCCTGCATGGAGTACCTGGGGAGAGAGGGCAGAGCGCCGCCGTTACACAGCTGGTACCGCACACACCTGTAGACGTGCTGCCCGGCACACACCTTATCACACCGTTAACACCTGTACACTCACCAACCACCTTAACGGCCTCCTGCACACCGGTACACTCTCCAACCACCTTAACGGCCTCGCGCACACCTGCACGCTCACCAGCCACCTGTACACACCTTATCGCACTGTTAACACCTGTACACTCACCAACCACCTTAACGGCCTCACGCACACCGGTACGCTCACCA